GTTTTAAACTAAAACAGGGTAGGTTTAGGCTGGATATAAGGAAGAAATTCTTTACAATGAGGGTGGTGAAACACTGGAACGGGTTGCCCAGAGAGGTAATGGAGGCCCCATCCCTGGAAACATTCAAGACCAGGTTGTACAGGGCTCTGAGCAACCTGATCTAGTTAGTGGTGTCCCTGCTCGCTGCGGGGGGGTAAGGACTAGATGACCTCTAGGGGTCCCTTCCAACCCAAAACTTTCTATGATTCTATAAAATGTAGATTGATGATTCTTTGAACTTTCCTTCAACCTCCTTCTTTTGCTTTGTTTTCCTAATTTTTGAGGCGAAATAAGGAATTTAATGAATTTGTAAAGTCTCTGTTGTTTCTGTAACTTAATAATTTTGTTTGAACTGCAGTGAATGATATCTCCTTTTATGTAGGTAAATCAGAAGGGGTGTCTTGTCTGAGAAACATTTCTTAACTTGCTCTTAGGGTAACAATACCTATATGACACACAGGTTATTTCTTTCTGTTTTAAAATGAATACATACAGAACAGACTTTCTTAAAACCTTGGTGATGGCTTGTTTTTATCCTGTGGACTTCTTGGTACAAAGAAGAAAGTATTCCAAAGTGTCAATGTCTTCCTTTTTCTGCTGTACTCATTATTCTCCACCTACCCCCAAGCAAATGGGTGATTCACATCAAACAGTTCTTACTTTTTGAGCTAATAGTCAAGTCTACCAGTTTACAAAGACGTTTCTCACTTAGGCACTTAGCTAGGAGATTGCGTAACCTGGTTTGTGGAGATGTTAGGCAAGTGGAGGAGAAAAGAGGAACATCTCGTATTTTCTCAAGAGAGTACAAAATACTTTTTGTAGCAATTCCGTAAGCAATAACTGAGTGATTGTAGTGCACTGTGTGTGTGGTTTCCACTGCAAATTACTCTAGCTGTGTAAGTGAAATACTCCGTACTTCTCAGATGCCATTTTTCTGGAATACCAGTAGAAATGGAGGCCTGTGGAGAAGCTCCAATTGCATGGCTGTGCGACTAGATATATTGACTTGTGTTTCCTGTGCCTTCAGACCATATGAAGAATAAATGCTTTGCCTTAAGAGTGGTTGAATAGAGCTAGGCAATCTAAAATAGAGGTTTGCATGGCAGAGCACATGTATAAGGAGGTGGTTAAACTTCTGCATCGGTATGGGTGAGTGAAGACAACCACATGTGAAGCAGTGGAACAATCTAAATGTAGCTCTGCAATAGTGACTCTGCTTTGTTGTGATGAGAATTTCTTATGGGCTATAGTAGCTGTATTTGGTTTCCCCATGGCTTTTAACTGTGCGGATTTC